TGGATTTAGCTGCTCTTTTAGATAAGATCGCAGCCAATGGCATCTCAGAGTTCTACAGCAGCAATCTGACGCAGGAAATGACGTCAGCGGTACGCCTCCAGTCTCACTCTTACTGTTTTTGTTTGTTTTACATAAGATATCATTCATTTTAGCAATTTATTTGTCAAAAAAGTCTTAACAAGACATATTTAGAGACTAATAATCGTCATAATGTAATTTCCTGCTGTCTTTCAAACTAGACTGCCCACCATTGATATGTTTAATGGCAGTCTGTGACATATTAGGTATAGGATGGTAAGGGAAGCTCTAGTGGATGCTCTATACAGTATGAGTTACAGGACTTCTGGGTTTCCTAGAAGCAAAATATTAGATGATCAGAGAAAGTGTTGATCAGATGGCATGTAAAAATGAGTTCTTCAGCTTTCCTTTGGATCACTGCCTCTGTTAATCTAGACAAGGTGTAGAACTGTATATGTGTCTCTGTAATTTGAGGTCCCGATGGGTAGACGTGCATCTAAAAAGACCTTTATTTTGATATTTTCACTTTTTTTTTGAAACCTTACAGCTTTGCTTTCTTTGTGCATAAAATCACTTTTGTCAATTAAATTAGGAGCTGACCTCAAAATGAGTGCTTCACTTAACTTACTTGACTGACTTTACTGAACTTTACTTACTTTAGAAACTTTACTTAAGCTTTAGTAACAGTAACACTGGTCTGACACATCAGAGCCTTTTAAATGTTATTTTAATGCTGAAACATGAAACTGGAACATGAAAGTGAAGTTGAACATCTGCCATGGCCTGCACAGTCACCAGAGCCGAACATTATTGAGTCACTTTGAGATGGAGCAAGTCAGGAAACGTTTTCCTCCACCAGCATCGTGTAGTGACCTGGCCAATGCTGTTCTTTATGCTTCTATTAATCTACACCCACAGATTTATGAGTCTATTCAATCTGTGTAGATGTGTAACTATATATTTATTAAGTTTGTTTATGATTTTCAGTAATAGAATTGAAATATATGCAAATCTTTAAGTTTAAGTCATATTTTCTGTCTTTTATTTAGTGGCGGTTTTACATGAGAGCCTTACTGTAGTCTTGTTTACCAAAAAAGTGGCTTAAATTAGATTTGTGCTGTAAACTTTTAAGCTTTTTATGGGCGTCACCGTGGCGCAGTGGGTAGCACGATCACCTCACAGCAAGAAGGTCTCTGGTTCGAGCCTCGGCTGGGTCAGTTGGCATTTCTGTGTGGAGTTTGCATGTTCTCCCCTTGTTAGCGTGGGTTTCCTCTGGGTGCTCCGTTTTCCCTCACAGTCCAAACACATGCGCCATTGTGAATGCGAGGGCGTATGGGTGTTTTCCAGTGATGGGTTGCAGCTAGAAGGACATCTGCTGCGTAAAACATTCATTCATTCATTTTCTTGTCGGCTTAGTCCCTTTATTAATCCAGGGTCGCCACAGCGGAATGAACCGTCAACTTATCCAGCATGTTTTTACGCAGCGGATGCCCTTCCAGCTGCAACCCATCTCTGGGAAACATCCACACACACACTTATATATTACGGCCAATTTAGCCTACCCAATTCACCTGTACCGCATGTCTTGGAATGTGGGGGGAAACCGGAGCACCCGGAGGAAACNCAAGCGAAGGCAGGGAGAACATGCAAACTCCTCACAGAAACACCAACTGAGCCGAGGCTCGAACCAGCGACCTTCTCGCTGTGAGGCGACAGCACTACCTACTGCTTTGCCTGCGTAAAACATATGCTGGATTAATTGGTGGTTCATTCCACTGTGGTGACCCCTGATTAATAAAGGCACTAAGCCGAAAGGTAAATGAATGAATGAACTTTTAGCTTTTAGTTTGAGTCATGTGTTCTGGAATATTCTCAAAATCCCTTATCTGTTGCATGAATCTACAGATTTTCACAGAATTCTACACAGAAATGACAAAGTAAGGCAGCAGATTCTGCTAATAGGGAACAGATCACCAGCCGATCACATTACGCTCTGAGTTTTGTGTTGTTTTTCAGGTTCAAGCTAACGGAGGAGTGCTGACGGAGGAGGACTTCAGAAACTACACCACCGTCATCCAGACGCCTCTGCAGAGCCTTTACCAGGGTAAACGCGCATCAATTTCTGCCAGTCAACTGCAAAACTGCTGCATTATTGCCATTAGTTGAGGTATTAAATGAATAGTTCACCTAAAAATGTAAATATCCTCAACATTTACTCAGACTAAAGTGTTTGTGAGTGTCTTTCTTCTGTTGAACACAAAAGAAGATGTTCTGAAGAATGTTGGGGAAAAAAGAAGCCATTGACATTCATAGTAGGAACAAAAACACTATTGAAGTCATTGTTTTATTTCCAGCACTCTTTAGTACATCTTCATTAGTGTTCAACAGAAGTGGAGGATGAGGACAGAGTTTTTATGTGCGCATTTTTCTACACATTGTGGAATATCACATAAAAAGTGCTTAACGGAAAGGCAAAGATGTGCATAGACTTTGAAAATGTGCATAAGAAATGAAGCTCACCACTGAGAAGGGTAAACATTTTATCTGCTAAAACTACAGTGGAAACATTCATTTATTCATTTTCTTGTTGGCTTAGTCCAGGGGTGGGCAAACTCGGTCCTGGAGAGCCAGTGTCCTGCAGACTTTAGCTCCAACACTAATCAAACACACCTGAACATGCTAATCAGTGTCTTCAAGATCAATAGAAATCTATAAGC